GAGAGGGAGAGAGAGAGAGAGAGAGGGGGAGAGAGAGAGAGAGGGAGGGAGGGAGGGAGGGAGGGAGGGACGGAGGGTCGGAGGGAGGGAAAGAAAGAAAAGAAAGAAAGAGAGAGAGAGAGAGAGAGAAAGAAAGAAAAGAAAGAAAGAAAGAAAGAAAGAAAGAAAGAAAGAAAGAAAGAAAGAAAGAAAGAAAGAAAGAAAGAAAGAAAGAAAGAAAGAAAGAAAAATTAGCCAGCTGTGGTGGCGTGCACCTGTAGTCCCCAGCTACTCGGGAGGCTGAGATAGGAGGATCACTTGAGCCGAGGACGTGAGGCTGCAGTGAGCTGTGACTGCACCCCAGGCTGGGAGACTGAGCCAGACTCTATGTCAAAAAAAAAAAAATTACTATAACCCATAAGGCCATGTGACCTTAAACGAAGTTTTCCCATGTTATTAAAAAATCATGCTTTAGGCCAGGCACTGTGGGTCACGCCTGTAATCCCAGCACTTTGGGAGGCTGAGGGCAGATCACCTGAGGTCAGAAGTTCAAGATCAGCCTGACCAAAGTGGAGAAACCCCATTTCTACTAAAAATACAAAATTAGCTGGGTGTGGTGGTGCATGCCTGTAATCCCAGCTATTTGGGAGGCTGAGGCAGGGGAATTGCTTGAACTCGGGAGGCGGAGGTTGCGGTGAGCCGAGATCATGCCACTCCAGCCTGGGCAGCAAGAGTGAGATTCCATCTCAAAAAATAAATAAATAAATAAATTAATTAAATTAAATAAAAATACAGAGGAGGCAGCTAAGGTACAGAGAGGTTGGCGTGCAGGTCCTAGGTCACACAGCTTTGAAGCATCTGAGCCGGCCTCACTCACCATTTGATGAATTAACACATACAGGTTCATGATGTCCATGCCAGTCCATGTTCCAGCTGCACCCTTGAGCCCTCCCTGGCCCAGCTCATGGTCATTACACCCACTTCTGGTCCTGATTGCTGGCTCCAGAGCCCCCCAGACCTTTCCAGAATCCCAAGCTTTGTTGAGAGCCTCTGCTGCTTGGCTCAGCTCTCCCCATTCCCCTGGGGGAGACTGGATTCCACCAGCAGGGGACCTTCGGGCAGAGGCTTTTTTTTATTTTTATTTTTTTTGTAATTTTTATTTTTTAGAGACAGGGTCTCACTTTGTGGCCCAGGCTGGAGTGCAGTGACACGATCACAGCTCACTGCAGCCTCGACCTCCTGGGCCCAAGGGATCCTCCTACCTCAGCCTCCTGAGTAGCTGGGACTAGAGGTGCACATCACCCTGCCTGACTTATTAAAATTTTTTTAGGCAGGGCGAGGTGGCTCACACTTGTAATCCCAGCACTTTGGGAGGCTGAGGCAGGCAGATCATTTGAGGCCAGGAGTTTAAGAACCGCCTAAAATGGTGAAACCCCATCTCTACACAAAATAATAATAATAACAACAACAACAGCTGGGCATGGTGGTGCACACCTGTAATCCCAGCTACTCGGGAGGCTGAGGCTGAGAATCACTTGAACCCAAGAAGCAAAGTTTGCAGGGAGCTGACGTGCCACTGCACTCCAGCCTGGGTGACAGGCTGTCTCAAAAAAAAAAAAAAAAAAAAAAAGGTTTGGCCTGGTACAGTGGCTCACACTGTAATCCCAACACTTTGGAAGGCTGAGGCAGGAGGACCATTTGAGCCCAGGAGTTCAAGACCTGCCTGGGCAACATGGTGAAACCCCAACTGTGGTTTTTTTTTTTTTTTTTTTTTTGAGCTGGAGTTTCGCTCTTGTTACCCAGGCTGGAGTGCGATGGTGCAATCTCGGCTCACTGCAACCTCCGCCTCCTGGGTTCAAGCAATTCTCCTGCCTCAGCCTCCCGAGTAGCTGGGATTACAGGCACGCGCCACCATGCCCAGCTAATTTTTTGTATTTTTTTAGTAGAGACGGGGTTTTCACCATGTTGACCAGGATGCTCTCGATCTCTTGACCTTGTGATCCACCCGTCTTGGCCTCCCAAAGTGCTGGGATTACAGGCGTGAGCCACCGCGCCCAGCCTGGATGTCTCTGAACATCTCTGAAAGTCTCTGGGGATCTCTGAGGGTCTCTGAGGGTATTTGAGAATTTGGGGGTTTTGCAAGCATCTCAAGGTTTCTGTGAGGGTTTTTGGGAGTCTCTGAAGGTCTCTAAATATCTCTGAGGGTCTTAGGGGCGTGTGAGGTTTTCTGGGTGTCTCTGCATGCCTCTGGTGGTCTCTGAGTGTTTCTGAGGGTCTCCTGGCATCTCTGAGTATCCCTGGGGGGGGGTGGACTGGTATCTGTCTGGGGCCATCTCTGGTGGCTGCCTGGGGGTCTTTGTGTGGACTGGTTGGCCCTGCCTGGGACTCAAGCCTGGGACAGTTTGAGGTACATCGTGGGGCAGCCGAGGGACCACAGGGAGGTGGCCTCTGAAAGTTCCAGGCTCCCTTCAGCCAGGGAGGGGCCAGCAGAGACTTGAGCTGCCCCCAGTCTCAGAAACCTGAGTGTAGCCAGCTAGGGCTGTGTCAGGAAGGTCCAGACCCCAAGACTCCCAGACCTCTGGATCCCAAGACCCCAGGATCCCCAGGACCCCCCAGACCCCAGAACCCTCATATCCTAAGACCCTCAGACCCCATGACTTCAAACTCCAGGACCCCCAGATCCCAAGACTCCCAGACCTCTGGATCCCCAGATTTCAGAACCACCAGATCCCTGGGACCCCAGCCCCAAGACTATCAGACCTCTGGATCCCCAGATCCTGAACCCCCACCCCACATCCCCACCAAATCTCCATATCCCAAGACCCCTAGACCCTAGGACTCCCTGACCTCTGGATCCCCAGACTTCAGGTCCCCCAGACCCCAGAACCCTTAGATTCTAGGACTCCCAGACCCCAGGATCCCCAGACTTCAGAGCCCCCAAATCTCAGGACCCCCTCCGAACCCAGACTGTCAGACTCCAAGACCCCAGCTTCCCCAAGCTAACCTCCAAAACTCGCTATCCCGGACCCCAGGACTGCCTGCCCCCAGCACCTGCAGCCTCGGGTCTGGCACTTCCGCATTTCTTCATTTCCTTCTTTTCTAAGTGGCGCCGGAAGTGGACTCCCCTAGTAACCTCCCAGGGCGTGGAGGGCGTGCAGCTGCATGAGGCTCACTGCTGGCTGGGCTCCTCCATCCCTGTGGTCCTTAGAGGCCCCAAGGGCTCCCCTGCTCCCTCTGCCTACTAAGGACACGGTGAGAAGAGGTCATCTGCAAACCGGAAGCGATTCTGCTGGTGCCTTTATCTTGGACTTCCCCGCTTCCAGAACTGTGAGGAATAAATGTCTGTTGTTCATAAGCCACCCTAGTTTATGGATCCCAAGACCCCAGGATCCCCAGGACCCCCCAGACCCCAGAACCCTCATATCCTAAGACCCTCAGACCCCATGACTTCAAACTCCAGGACCCCCAGATCCCAAGACTCCCAGACCTCTGGATCCCCAGATTTCAGAATCCATTATGGTGGATTTGTTATAGCAGCCTGCACAAACACTGAAGACATCTGCTCTCTACCCAGGGCTGCTGCCACCCTCCCACCACGGGGCCTTTGCACATGCTGTTCCCACGCCTGGGTGCTGTTCCCTACCTCTCCTCCTCCTTACTCCCTAAGGGCTTCCTTGATCATCCCATTAAAAAGTTGCTTCTGGCCAGGTGTGGTAGCTCACGCCTGTAATCCCAGCACTTTGGCAGGCCAAGGCGGGCGATCATGAGGTCAGGAGATCAAGACCAGCCTGGCCAACATGGTGAAACCCTGTCTTGCTCTGCTGCCCAGGCTGAGGTGAAGTGGCACAATCACGGCTCACCGCAGTCACAACCACGTGGGCTCAAGTGACCTTCCCACTTCAGCCTCTGAAAAGCTGGGAGTACAGGCTGAAGCCACCATGCCTAGCTAATTTTTTATTTTTGGACGGAATCTTGCTCTGACGCCCAGGCTGGGGTGCAGTGGTGTGATCTCGGCTCACTGCAACCTCCACTCCCCAGGTTCAAGCCATCCTCCAGGCTCAGCCTCCCAAGTGGCTGGGATTACAGGCACTTGGCACCATGCCCAGATAATGTGTGTGTGTGTGTGTGTGTTTTTAGTAGAGTCGAGGTTTCACCATGTTGGCCAGGCTGGTCTCGAACTCCTGACCTCAATTGATCCTCCCAGAGTGCTGGGATTACAGGTGTGAGCCACCACACCTGGCCGACCTAACCATTTTAAACTGCACAATATGGTGGCGTTTCACCACATTCATAATGTTATGCGACCATCACCTCTATCTAATTCCCGAATGTTTCTATCACCCCAAATAGAGACCCTATCCCCGTTAGCAGTGAGCTTCCTCCCGTTCTCTCTCTCCCGACTCCTGGCAACCCCTGATCTGCTTTTAGTCTGTATGCATTTGCCTACTTGGGATATTTCTTTTTTTTTTTTTTTTTTTTGAGATGGTGTTTCACTCTTGTCACCCAGGCTGGAGTGCAATGGCGCGATCTCAGCTCACTGCAACCTCCGCCTCCCAGGCTCAAGCGATTCTCCTGCCTCAGCCTCCTGAGTAGCTGGGATTACAAGTGCCCGTCACCATGCCAGGCTGATTGTTTTATTTTTAGTAGAGGTGGGGTTTCGCCATGTTGGCCAGGCTGGTCTCATACTCCTGACCTCAGGTGATCCACCTGCCTCAGCCTCCCAGAGTGCTCGGATTACAGGCGTGAGCCACCGCACCCAGCCTATTTGGGATATTTCATGTAAATGAAACCATACAACACGTGGCCTCTCGGAACTGGCTTCTTTCACTCAATGCAATGCCCTCTAGTTTCGTTCCAGATGTAGCGTGGCTCAGGGCTGCTTCTTCGTGGCTGAATCATATCCCCCTGTACGAATGAGCCATGTTTTCTTATTTGTTCCTCAGTTCACACTGTAAATATGCAAATGTGCAGGGAGGAATTTCCAGAAGCGGGTCAGCTGTGTCAGCAGGCGCATGAGTTTGTCATTCTGGTGGCCTGTGCCGTGGTACCCTCCAGCAAGGCTGCACCAGGGACACACCCCACAGCCCGACTGGCACGGAAGATCATTGCACTGTTGGATTTTTGCCAATCTGCTTGGCGAAGACAGTTCGTGATTTGCAGTTTTCTCATTAGGAATAAAATTTTTCTTTTGTTTTCTTTTTTAAGACAGGTCCATTCTGTTGCCCAGGCTGGAGTGCAGTGGAGTGATCTCACTTCACTGCAGCCTCCACCTCCTGGGTTCAAACGATTCTCCTGCCTCAGCCTCCCGAGTAGCTGGTACTACAGGGGTGTGCCACTATGCCCGGCTAATTTTTGTATTTTTTAAAGTAGAGACGGGGTTTTACCATGACAGCCAGGCTGGTCTCGAACTCCTGGGCTCAGGCAATCTGCTCACTTCGGCCTCCCAAAGTGCTGGGATGTCAGGTGTGAGCCACAGCACTCGGCAGGAATGAGCCTCTTCGGACACGTGAAGAGCGGTTTCTGGCTTTTTCTTCAAGGTCTCAGTTCAAAGCCTTTGACCATTTCTCATAGTTGGAAGATGGAAAGGACAGAGGCTGAGGAGAGGGAAAGTGTGGGGGAGCAGACCCCCAGCCCCCCAGGTCCTGGAGAAGCCACTGCGCATGTGACAGCTGTGGACACGGAGGCACAGCGAAATTAAGGGGGCACCGTGAGTCGGGCTGGCGGAGGTTGGAGCCTGGTCTGCCTGACACCAGGTTCAGCTGAGACCTTCTCCCAGCCCCTTCCTCAGTCTCACTTCTGTCACTAATACCCTCCAGTCTGCCTCAGGCCCCCATCACTTCTGGGACCTCAGCCTCCTCCCGATGTTGGTCACCCAGACACCAGGTTCACTCCAGAGGGAGTTCTTCAGCCAGTGCCCCTCTGCCCACACACCAGCTTTGGCTCCATGTGACCCCTTCCACCGCCGCCAATTCCTTCTATCCTCTCCACTCCTAACCGTGCTATTCCAGGCAGCTACATTTTCCCAAGCTCCAGGGACCCCCCCCTCACTGTCCCCTCAAGCATAGCGGTGCCATTGTGCAAGAACTCAGTGGGAGAGGCTTAGAGGAGCTTGGAGAGCCAATGACAGGTTTGGGGAAACTTGGAGAACTCCTACTCATGCGTTGAAGCCCCAATGGTAATGCCTCCTCCTCCAGGAAGCTTCCAGGACACTCCTTCTCTCCGGACCTTCCTTGACTGCATGGCACTAGGAGTGTCTGTGTTCAGCTCTGCCCTCTCTTAAGACACCTCCTTGAGGATCTGGCCAGGGTTAAGCCTTCTTGGGGGCCCAGCGTGGGTGATGTTTGTTGAGTGAATAAATGACTGCATGAGCTGGGAGTCAACTGAGCTGAGATCTGGAAGCAAGTTGAGGTGGCAGTCAGTTGGAGTGGTAATAGGGGACATGAAGTCACTGGGCTCTCTCAAGAGGGAAGTGGGACCCTGGGCCACCCCTCCCCCTCGCCCTCACCCTTCTGTGAGAAACTTAAGGCCCTGCAAGGGGGCGGATCTCTGTCTTCATTCTTCCCCTCTGCTCTCCACCCAGACACCAGTTCCTCTTCCCGCTGCTGAGTAGCCGGTGCAGAGCCAGAGGAACGCCGGGGACCCCAGAAGTGTCGAGGAGGGTGCTGGCCGCCGCACCTGGTATCCAGGTGCCCCAGGACACAGCCCCTGGGTGCTGTGGCTTTTCCTGCATCGCCGAGGCAAAAGCGTGGCAGTGGGACCCAAAAGGTAGGCCCGAAGCTCTACAACTTGCCCCTGTGTGGGGACGCCAACCAGAGCTGGCGGGGAGCCTTTCAGCAGCCCCACTCCCCTGTCCCAGGGCTTCCAAGCGACCCGCGTTCTGGGAGAGACAGTAGATCGGGATCGGGATCGGGATCGGGGACAGGGCCGTTTCCAAGGCAACCCTTATTTGCATAGGGTCCGTCCTGGCAAAAGAGGGTACCCAAAATGTCCAGGACGTAGCAGAAGGCGTTACTGGGACCGGGTCTCCTCCTCGCCCTCCAAGCCCGCTAGGCACCGGGGTTACCTACCCATGCCCCAGAAGGGGAAACTGAGGTAGCCAACCAGCCGGAGGAAGCAACCAGACGGGGACAGCGCTTTACCACTTCGGAAGCGGCTCGCGCTGGTCTGAGCTATAATAGTAAACTCTGGCGGTGAAGGCGAGGGCGGCCGCAGGGCTGAGGTCGGGGCTTGGATTCCGGTGTCTCTGTGCAGGTGGCTTGAATGGGGAGCGCCCTGGCCTGGACGCTGCTGCTGCAGCTGCTGCTGCCGGAGTCGGGCGGCCGGGACCTGTCGTGCGCCGTCCCCTCCGCGGATGTGGACTGGAACACGGAGTTCAGTGACACGTGCCTCAACTTCAGCGGGCTCGGCCTGAGCCTGCCCCAGAACCAGTCTCTGCGGGCCCGCCAAGTGCGTCTCTTGGACCTGTCTGCGAACGGGCTGCGGGAGCTCCCAGCAAGCTTCTTCTCCGGCCTGCAGAGGCTTCAGCTCCTGAACGTGCTGCAAAACCCCCTGTCCCGCGTGGACGGAGCGCTGGCCGCCCGCTGTGACCTGGACCTGCAGGCCGACTGCGGCTGCGCCCTGGCGCCCTGGCACCAGGTCCGGAGAGACAACTGCTCTGGCCAGACGCCCCTGCTCTGCTGGGACACAGACACCGGCTCCCAGCGCAACCTCTCTGCCTTCCTGGAGGTCAGCTGTGCCCCTGGCCTGGCCCCTGCGGCCATCGCGGCGGCGGCGGCCAGCGGATGCCTGCTCCTCGGGCTCGCCATCGCTGGCCCCTTGCTGGCCTGGAGACTCCGGCGACGCCGCGCGGCCGGAGGCCGGGACCTGGACAAGCCCTGGGCTGCTCAGGATGGGCCGAAGCCTGGTTCAGGCTCGCAGCCACGGTACAGCAGCCGGAACTCCCGCAAGCCCCAGGTGGTCACCCCACCCCGCCCCTCTACTCCCGACTATGAAAACATGTTTGTGGGCCAGCCAGGAGCCGAGCACCAGTGGGCCGAACAGGGGTAAGTAACCCATGAAGACACCTGCCAAAGTGGCAAATACCAAAGCTCCACACCCAGACGACCTGGGTTCAAATCCCGGCTTTGCCGGGCACAGTGGCACATGCCTGTAATCTCAGCACTTTGGGAGGTCGAGGTGAGCGGATCATGAGGTCAGCAGTTCGAGACCAGCCTGGCCAATGTAGTGAAACCCCGTTTCTACTAAAGATACAAAAAAAAAAAAAAAAAAGAAAGAAAAGAAAGAAAGAAAGATAAAGAAAGAAAGAAAGAAAAAGAAAGAAAGAAAGAAAGAAAGAAAGAAAGAAAGAAAGAAAGAAAGAAAGAAATAGCCAGGCATGGTGGCACGCACCTGTAGTCCCATCTACTCGGGAGGCTGAGGCAGGAGAATCGCTTGAACCCGGGAGGCGGAGGTTGCAGTGAGCTGAGATCATTTCATTGCACTCCAGCCTGGGTGACAAGGTGAGACTGTCTCAAAAAAAAGCAAAAAACAAAAACAAAAACAAAAAAATCCCAGCTCTGCCACTTGCAGGCTATGGGATCTTAGGCAAGGAGCTTTATTTCTCTGAGCCTCGGTCTTCTCATCTATAAAATGGGAGAAGACTGGCTCACATCCGAAATCCCAGCACTTTGGGAGGCCAAAGCAGGCAGTTCACTTGAAGTCAGGAGTTCGAGACCAGCCTGGCCAACACAGTGAAAACCCGTCTCTACTAAAAATACAAAAATTATTTTGTCTAAGTGTGACGGTGGGTGCCTGTGGTCCCAGCTGCCAGGGAGGCTGAGGCAGGAGAGTCACTCAAACCCAGGAGTCAGAAGTTGCAGTGAGCCGAGTTCACGCCATTGCACTCCAGCCTGGGTGACAGAGTGAGACTCCATCTCAAAAATAATATAAGATAAAGTGGGGGAGTACAGCCCGCGTCTTAGTGTGTCGGGGTAAGAATTAAGTGAGTTCCCACACATAGCACAGACTTCCCCTTCATGACCTGTAAACCCAGTTTCTGGCCGCCAAGGATGGGGAGAAAGGAGGCAACTGCTTGGGCAGAGTTGGGGCTCTGTGGTGGCCGTCAGCAGCGTAAGCCCAGATCCCGTGTGACCCAGGGCTGTCTCTGAACCTCCATGTCTGTCTCCATAGAATGGGGACAGCCCCCATGTCCCCATGACACACATGAGATGCTGAAGGGATGCCTACAAAGTCCCATCACCTCTAGATGACTTTTGTTTTTTCGAGATAGTTTTAGGCTGGAGTGCAGTGATGCGATCACAGATCATTGCAGCCTCAAACTCGTGGCCTCAGGTGATCCTCCTGCCTCAGCCTCCTGAGTACCTGGGACCACAGGCGGGTGCCACCACACCCAGCTAATTTTTTTTTTTTTTGAGATGGAGTCTTGCTCTTCTTGCCCAGGCTGGAGTGCAGTGGTGTGATCTCAGCTCACTGCAACCTCCACCTCCCAGGTTCAGGTGATTATCCCGCCTCAGCCTCCCGAGTAGCTGGGACTACAGGCGTGTGCCACCAGGCCTGCCTAATTTTTAAAATATTTTTAGTAGAGACGGGGTTTCACCGTGTTAGCCAGGATGGTCTCGATCTCCTGACCTCGTGATCCACTCGCCGCAGCCTCCCAAAGTGCTAGGATTACAGGTATGAGCCACCGCGCCTGGCCTAATTTTTGTATTTTTTGTAAAGACAGGATTCTTGCTATGTTTCTCAGGCTGGTCTCAAACTCTTGGCCTCAAGCGATCCTCATGTCTCAGCCTCCCAAAGTGCTGGGATTATCGGTGTGAGCCACCACAGCCAGCCTCTAGATGATTTTGCTGGGCTTAGACAAATGAGTGCAACTTTTCTAGGCTAGGGGTGGGTGTGGTGACTCACGCATGTAATCCCAGCACTTTGGGAGGCCAAGGTGTGCAGATCACCTGTGGTCAGGAGTTCAAGACCAGCCTGACCAACATGGTGAAACCCTGTCTCTACCAAAAATACAAAAATTAGCCAGGTGTGGTGGTGGGCACCTGTAATCTCAGCTACTCAGGAGGCTGAGGCAGGAAGAATCGCCTGAATCCAGGAGGTGGAGGTTACAGTGAGCTGAGATGGCGCCACTGTACTCCAGCCTGGGTGACGGTGTGAGACTCTGTCTCAAAAAAAAAGAAAAAGAAAAAGAAAAAGAAAAGCTTTTCTGGGTTGGAAAAGGGAGTGGAGGGAATTTCAAGGGGTGGGACCCCCCTCAGGGGCAGAGACCCAGAGGTGGAAAAGAACAGCAAATTTACTGTGAATGGTTTTTGAGAGGGGTGACTTGAAAGCCGAGGCTTCGGCGAAACAGGGAGGACCGAGCTGGAAGGGACCACGTCATGGGTGGCGCTGTGTTTGGACAGTAGAGTTCATGCCAGGAGGCGGGGAAGCTACCGGGAGACCACTGGTGGGAGAGGAGGGAATATGCAAAGCAGATGCAGACACGGCTCAACAGCAGAAGTGGTCTGCGGCAGGGTGCTGAAGTCGCGGCGCACAAAGGCACCTTCTGCGCTGATGCTCACTGCGGCCTCCCTGTCCCCGAGGTTACCAGATCAGCCTCCTTTATATAGCTGGCCTCCAGAAGCACTGTGTTTAGAATTGAATGTGTCATTTCCACCTTACATGTTTTTTTCAAGGCAGGGTTTCACCATATTGGTCATGCTGGCTTCAAACTCCTGACCTCAGGTGATCTGCCCGCCTCAGCCTCCCAAAGTGCTGGAATTACAGGTGTGAGCCACCATGCCGGGCCGACATTTTTTTTTTTTTTTTGAGACAGAGTTTCGCTCTCTCTCAAATTCATGCTAGAGAGTAAATGACTGATAGATGCTGCTTACCCAAAGTGGCCCTTTTGCCCCGCCTTTTTTTTTTTTTTTTTTTTTGAGATGGAGTCTTGCTCTGTCACCCAGGCTGGAGTGCAGTGGCATCATCTCAGCTCACTACAACTTCTGCCTCCCAGGTTCAAGTGATTCTCCTGCCTCAACCTCCCAAGTAGCTGGGATTACAGGTACCTGCCACCATGCCCGGCTAATTTTTGTATTTTTGGTAGAGACGGGGTCTCACCATATTGGCCAGGATGGTCTCGATCTCCTGACCTCATGATCCACCCACGTTGGTCTCCCGAAGTGCTGGGATTACAGGTGTGAGCCACCATCCGCCCTACATCTTACAGTTACAAACATGGAGGCTCTGGGAGGCAGGGAAATGACTTGTCCAAGGTCACATAGCCAGTCAAAAAAGGCAGGAAACAAACCCTGAGCCCCAGTCCTGTTCATCTCTCTACAACCACTTAGGCGTTGGTGGGCAATTCATACTAGAGTGTAAATGACTGATAGATGCTGCTTACCCAAAGTGGCCCTTTTGTCTTTTTTTTTTTTTGAGATGGAGTCTCACTCTTGCCCAGGCTAGAGTGTAGTGGCACGATCTCAGCTCACTGCAACCTCTGCCTCCCAGGTTCAAGCAATTCTCCTGCCTCAGCCTCCCAAGTAGCTGGGATTACAGGCATGCGCCACCACACTCAACTAATTTTGTATTTTTAGTAGAGACATGGTTTCCTCCATGTTGCTCGGGCTGGTCTCGAACTCCTGACCTTAGGTGATTCACCCACCTTTGCCTCCCAAAGCGCTGGGATTATAGGAGTGAACCACTGCGACTGGCTTTTTTTTTTTTTTTTTTTTTTTTAGACAGAGTTTCGCTCTTGTTACCCAGGCTGGAGTGCAATGGCACGATCTCGGCTCACCGCAACCTCCGCCTCCTGGGTTCAGGCAATTCTCTTGCCTCAGCCTCCCAAGTAGCTGGGACTACAGGCACGCGCCACCATGCCCAGCTAATTTTTTGTATTTTTAGTAGAGACAGGGTTTCACCATGTTGACCAGGATGGTCTCGATCTCTTGACCTCGTGATCCACCCGCCTCGGCCTCCCAAAGTGCTGGGATTACAGGCTTGAGCCACCGCACCCGGCCTGGCTTTTTTTTTTTTTTTTTGAGACTGAGTCGTGCTCTGTTGCCCAGGCTGGAGTGTAGTGGCACGATTTTGGCTCACTGCAACCTCCGCCTCCTGGGTTCAAGCAATTCTCCTGCCTCAGCCTCCCAAGTAGCTGGGACTACAGGTGCCTGCCACCACAGCCAGCTAATTTTTGTAATTTTAGTACAGATGGGGTTTCACCATGTTGGCCAGGCTGGTCTTGAACTCCTGACCTCAGGTGATCTACCCACCTTGGCCTCCCAAAGTGCTGGGATTCGGGCTTGAGCCATCGCCTGGCCCAGTGGCCCTTTTTACAAGAGGAGGTAGCGTGGAGTTAGAATGTTCAGGAGGCAGCCTGGCACGGTGGCTCACACCTGTAATCCCAGCACTTTGGGAGGTGGAGGAGGGCAGATCATGAGGTCAGGAGTTCGAGACCAGCCTGGCCAACACAGTGAAACCCTGCCTCTACTAAAAATACAAAACTTAGCCGGGCTTGGTGGCGTGCCCCTATAATCCCAGCTACTCGGGAGGCTGAGGCAGGAGAGTTGCTTAAATCTGGGAGGCAGAGGTTATAGTGAGCCAAGATCGCACCACTGCACTCCAGCCGGGGGGACAGAGCGAGACTCCATCACAAAAAAAAAAAAAGGAAAGAAAAAAGAATGTTCAGGAGGCTGGAAAGTCCTTCTCTGCGGCTTTTGCTGATCTTAACCAATATTCCTAAGTGACTCCCTGTTCCTCGATCAATTTTATGGATGTAGAAACTGAGGCTTCAAGACTTACTTTCACATTTGAGGGCCCCAAAGTCAGTTGCTCCGGTGGTGAAAACGTTTCCCATCTGAAGGAGCAGACAGTTTGCTGCAGCCTCTTGTGACCATGTGACCTATGTGGCCTGAGCTTCCGATTTTTCAAGAGGAAATAAAAATTTAGATTTTAATGTAACAATGAACAACTACCTTGATTTTTGTTTTTTTTGAGATGGGGTCTCCCTCTGTCACCCAGGCTGGAGTGCTGTGGCGTGATCACAGCTCACTGCAACCTCCACCTCCTGGGCTCAAGCGATTCTCCCACCTCAGCCTCCCGAGTAGCTGGGACTCCAGGCACCTGCCACCACACCTGGATAATGCTTTTATTTTTTGTAGAGACAGGGGTCTCACCATGTTGCCCAGGCTGGTCTCAAACTCCTGGCCTCAGGTGGTCCTCCTGCCTCAGCCTGCCAAAATGCTGGGATTACAGGCATGAGTCACTGTCCTGGCCGCTATCTCATTTTTAAGGAAGGAAAAAGGGTTCAGGGTCCTCTGACCACAGCGTTAATCCCCAGAACCTTCCCTAAATCACACTCCTCCCCCAGCTTCCTCAGGGGTGGGGTTGGCTGGGAGTCAGAACACTACCCTGTGCCTCAGTTTCCCCTATGTAAATATTTGGGGTAAACTCATTCACTGTGAAACTTTCTTTTTTTTTTCCTTCTGAGACAGAGTCTTGCTGTGTCCCCAGGCTTGAGTGCAGTGGCGCAATCTCAGCTCACTGCAACCTCTACTTCCTGGGTTCAAGCGATTCTCCTGCCTCAGCCTCCTGAGTAGCTGAGACTACAGATGCGTGCCACCATGCCTGGCTAATTTTTGTATTTTTGGTAAAGACAGGGTTTCGGATGGGCGCTGGTGGCTCACGCCTGTAATCTCAGCACTTTGAGAGGCCAAGGTGGATCACAAGGTCAGAAGTTCAAGACCAGCCTGGCCAAGATGGTGAAACCCCATCTCTACTGAAAATACAAAACTTAGCCAGGCATGGTGGCGCATGCATGTAATCCCAGCTACTCAGGAGGCTGAGGCAGGAGAATTGCATGAACCTGGGAGGTGGAGGTTGCAGTGAGCCGAGGTTGTGCCACTGTGTCCCAGCCTGGGCAACAGAGCAAGACTTCGTTAAAAAAAAAAAAAAAAAATAGGCCGGGCGCTGTGGCTCACACCTGTAATCCCAGCACTTTGGGAGGCCGAGGCGGGTGGATCATGAGGTCAAGAGATGGAGACCATCCTGGTCAACATGGTGAAACCCGTCTCTACTAAAAATACAAAAAATTAGCTGGGCATGTGCCTCTAGTCCCAGCTACTCAGGAGGCTGAGGCAGAATTGCCTGAACCCAGGAGGCAGAGGTAGCGGTGACCCGAGATTGCGCCATTGCACTCCAGCCTGGGTAACAAGAGTGAAACTCTGGCTCAAAAAAAAAAAGACGGGGTTTCACCAGACTGGTCTCAAACTCCTGACCTCAGGTGACCCACCCACCTCAGCCTCCCAAAGTGCTGTATTACAGGCGTGAGCCACGGGACCTGGCCCACTCTGAACTTCTCGAAGCTCATGTGCCTACCCCGAGTCCTCCTCCTTCTCCACCTACCCTTGGTCTGTCTGTCCCCACAGGGCTCACCCTTCAGAGGACAGTGACTTTTACATGAACTACGAGGACGTCAACCTGGCCTCCCAGCCTGTCTACTGCAACCTGCAGTCACTGGGCCGGGCCCCAGTCGATGACGAGGAGTACGTGATCCCCGGGCGCTGAGCCCAAGATGTCCCAACCTCCACCCAGACCCGCTCCAGTCCTTGCCCGGTGACTCAGGGCATTCCAACCCCTCTCTGGCCTCAGTTTCCCCATCTGAAGAATGAGGACAGGAAACAACTATTTTTGAGGCCCCAGGGGGGCTCTGCCACCCCCTCCCCATCCCTCACGCCACTCCTCAGCCCCCTCATCTCCTAGAGGGGGAGGAGGAGAGATCCCCAACAAGGGGGCAGGAGGGTCACTGTGCGAACCCTGTTGTCACCCTCCTGTGGCTGCGCCCGCCGTGCTGAATAAATGCGTTGAGGCTGGCGAGGCTGCTGGCTCAGGGTGAGTGGGTTCCTCAAGGTGAGGATTTATGAGCTCCAAGACCAAGTCTCCGTCTGAGACTCTCAAATTGCTCCCCACCCCATCCCTCTTTTTTTTTTTTTTTTCCTGAGGCAAAGTCTGTGTCACCCAGGCTGGAGAGCAGTGGCGCAATCTCGGCTCACTGCAACCTCTGCCTCCTGGGTTCAAGTGATTTTCCTGCCTCGGCCTCCCCAAGTAGCTGGGATTATAGCGCCCACCGCTATACCTGGCGAATTTTTATATTTTTAGTAGAGACAGGGTTTCACCATGAACTCCTGACCTCAGACGATCCACCTGCCTCAATCTCCCAAAATGCTGGGATTACAGGTGTGAGCCACCGCGCCCAGCTTCTTTCTTTCCTTCTCCCTTCCTTTTTTTCTCTTTCTTTCTTTTTCCTTCCTCCTCCCTTTCTTTCTTTCCTTCCTTCCTGGTTTCTTGCTGTTCTTTTCTTTCTTTGGTGTGAACCACCATGCCTGGATTCTTCCCCTCCCTCCCTTCCTCCCTCCCTTTCTCCCTCCCTTCCTCCTTCCCTCCCTTCCTCTCTCCCTTCCTCCCTCCCTTTCTCCCTCCCTTCCTCCCACCCTTCCTCCTTCCCTTTCTTTCTTTGGTGTGAACCACCATGCCTGGATTCTTCCCCTCCCTCCCTTCCTCCCTCCCTTCCTCCTTCCCTCCCTTCCTCCCTCCCTTTCTCCCTCCCTTCCTCCTTCCCTCCCTTCCTCCCTCCCTTTCTCCCTCCCTTCCTCCTTCCCTCCCTTCCTCCTTCCCTTTCTCCCTCCCTTCCTCCTTCCCTCCCTTCCTCCCTCCCTTTCTCCCTCCCTTCCTCCTTCCCTCCCTTCCTCCCTCCCTTTCTCCCTCCCTTCCTCCTTCCCTCCCTTCCTCCTTCCCTTTCTCCCTCCCTTCCTCCTTCCCTCCCTTCCTCCCTCCCTTTCTCCCTCCCTTCCTTACTTTATTCCTTCCCTTTTCTTTCTTTTTCCTTTTTCTTTTCTTTTTGAGACGGAGTTTTGCTCTTGTCTCCCAGGCTGCAGTGCAGTGGTGCAATCTCAGCTCACCGCCACCTCCACCTCCCAGGTTCAAGCAATTCTCCTGCCTCAGCGTACTGAGTAGCTCGGATTACAGGCACCTGCCACCATGCCCAGCTAATTCTTGTATGTTTAGTAGAGACGGAGTTTCGGCATGTTGGCCAGGATGGTCTCAAACTCCTGACCTCAAGTGATCTGCCCACCTTGGCCTCCCAAAGTGCTGGGGTTACAGGCGTGAGCCACTGTGCCCGGCCCCATTTTATATATATATAGCTTTAGCTCTAATATTTTGAGAAAGTTCTTCAAGGCCCTGGTGCAATGCCACCTCCTCTGAGAAGCTGTCCCTGGTTTCTTCTCAGGCAGAGTGAATGACTCCCAGACGTCATTAACTTCCATCTTACAACTCATGAATCAGATCTTGCCCCTCCCCTGCTTCCACATCCTCCATGGCTCCCTATTGTCCCGGACGTTCAGCCTGGTGTTGGGGACCTGTGTGGTCCAGCCCTGCCCACCTCACTGCCCTTTCCCATGCTGCTCCCCTGAGCCTCCTCCCGACCACACCACCTCCCTCCGGAAGGTTTCCTTTTCCTGCACCAGTCCTTTCACCAGAATGCCACCTGCCTCCACTTTTTCTCACTCTGAAACTTCTTCCAAGACATCGGGTCTCACTCTGTTGCCCAGGCTGGACTGCAGGGGCACTGTCATAGCTCACTGCAGCCTCCAACTCCTGGGCCACTCACTCAGCCGAGCTTTGAAATATGGGGTGGTTCTGGTGTGTCTTCTCACTGCTGTGCCCAGGGCCTGGCATAAGGTGGGTATACTCACTGAATATGTTAAGGGGCACCTGCAGTCATTCAGGACGGCTTCTGGGTGGTGGCATTCCCAGCAGATATACCTCACTGCTGGAAGTGGGTAGTCTGTCCCCCAAGACACCCATCACCATTCCTCTCAGACTCAGGGTGGACAGGCAGTTTGGTGTGGGGAGGGGGCTGGACTCAGCACACCTCGGAATTCCAAGATCCTAAACAGGAAGTATATGTAACCTGGGACACGTGTTGTGTATGAAAATATTCTTCACAGCTTATTTGTTTCTCCCTCTGTTTATATAAGAAAGAATGAGGTGTCACTAACATGGAAGTGCCAGAAACAGGAGAGGCGATGAACTCACCCCTCAGGCTGGGGACAGTGCTGCAAAACAAGGCACTTGGTGGCAGATAGACTTGGCTGTGAGCTGCCTGTGTGGAAAGGTGACTCCCATGTGGGAAGAGACAGAGGCAGGTCCCTCTGCCCCAGCCCCTAAAAAGGGACGTTCTAAGGAACTAGGAAGGATGGAGGGACGGAGGGAAGCTGAGGTCAGGTCTCAGCTGTTTCAGAAACAGAACACCAGCCTGGGCAGCATGGCGAAACCCAGTGTCTACAAAAAATACAGAAATTCCCCGGGCGTGGTGGCAGGTGCCTGTAGTCCCAGCTACTCAGGTGGCTGAGGTGGGAGGATCCATGGAGCCCGGGAGGTTGAGGCTGCAGTGATCCGGGATTGTACCAGTGCACCCCAGCCTAGGCAACAGAGTCTAAAAATAAAAAAGAAACAAAAGCAGGGAGATGGAGAAATAGAGGGTCGGGAATGCCCAAGGCTGCTCTTGGAGCTCACAGGTGTCCTGGCATCCCCGAGAACATCTTCCCACTCATGCCTTGAGCCTTTCCACTCACCCCATCCCAGGTCCCCTGGAGAAACTGAGGCCCGGGAGAGGAGGATCTTCCCAAGGTCACTTTCCCTTATCCTGGACACCACAGGGAACGGTTTGGACAGCTTTATTTTTTACCGCCAGACTTTTAAATAAATACACAGTTCCATCAGCCCAGCCCCCCAGTCCCCAGGAAGATCACCCCAATAAATTAATAATAAATAACAGACATATAAATACAGCTGTTTGGGCAGGAATCGGGTGCCCCAGGACCCTTGAGCCCATTCCACAGGCCGGGACCACCGAGGCCTCGCCCCCACACGCCCCTGCACGGTGGCGGACCAGGGCTGCTCATGCACAGTGGCAGTCTTTGGCTAAGAGGTCGTCGTAGGTCTGGAGCGACACCCCGCTGTCCGTCTTCTGCAGGAGCACCATGGGACTGTAGCTGGCGGGCACGCAGCAGGGCGCTGGCACCGCGTCGGGCTTCAGGCGGTGCAGGCTAGTCTTGATCTGCGCGTGCATGTTGGCCGCCCGGAACTGGCTCGGGCACGCGCCGATGCACATGCTCACTTGCACCTCCCGCGGCGACAGCACCCAGTCGGCCCAGCCCAGGTCTTCCAGCGACGCGCGGACGGTGTGCAGGCGGCAGCAGCGCCCGGGCCCGAGCGGACAGTGGTCCCCGTCCCGCGCCCGCGCTCTGCGGCGCCCCCTGGCGGCGCGCGCCCGCAAGTGCAGCTCCAGCTGGGGCCGTGCGGCCCGAGACGCTACCAGCAGCTGGTCCGAAGGCGGCGGCGACAGTCGCAGGTGCAGCGCGGGCGCCTGGGGTCTTGCAAGTCTGAGCTGACGCCGCAGCGGGCGCGTCACGTCCCACGACCTTGAAGCCGTCGGGGACAGCCGGAACAGAGCCCGGTGAAGTCGGGAGGCCTCGGGGAGCCCCTCGGGCAGGGCGGCCCGGGGGATGCGCAGATGCAGGTGGCCGCCAGACCCCAGGCGCACTGTGGGAAGACAGAGAAGCTAGTCACCCACAGGTCAAGCTGGATCCCACCACGGCGCCTTTGCACAAGTTACTTCCCCTACCAAGAGCATTTCTCCCCGCCGGGCGCGGTGGCTCAAGCCTGTAATAACAGCACTTTGGAAGGCCGATGAGGGCGGATGACTTGAGGTCAGGAGTTCAAAATCAGCCTGGCCAATATGGTGACATCCCCGCTTCTACTAAAAATACCAACAAATTAGCCAGGCGTGGTGGCCGGCGCCTGTGATCTCAGCCACTCGGGAGGTTGAGGCAGGAGAATCGCATGAACACGGGCGGCGCAGGTTGCAGCGAGCTGGGATCGCGCCACTGCACTCCAGTCTGGGCAACAGAGGAAGACTCCCTCGAAAAAAAGGTATTTCTCCTGAATCTCAGCACAGCTGGCTCCTCCTCTCCCTTCCAACCTGCCTAAAATTGGAAGCACCCTGTTTTATTTCGTTGTGAATCATTCATATTCCCTACTTAGACTCAGCTTGGTTGACACCGGCTGGCACACAATAGATGCTTAGTAAGTACTTGAAGGAATTAATGTGTATGTGATGTTTAGAGATTCCAGCCATGGGCTGCTTTTCTTCTGGCAGTCAAAAGCTCACTTACTTCACGTATTTATTAATTAATTATGGCCTGGATGTTGCCCAGGCTGGAGTGCAGCAATGTGCTCATGGTTCAGCGCAGCCTCCGTCTTGGGGGTTCAAGTGATCCTCCTGCCTCAGCCTCCTGAATAACTGAGACTACAGGTATGCACTATCACATCCGACTAATTTTTTTTAAGCTTTTTTGTTAGAGATAGGGTCTCACTATATTGCCCAGGCTGGTCTCAATGTCCTGGCCTCAAGCGATGCTCCCACCTCGGTCTCCCAAAGTGCTGGAATTACAGGCATAATCCCGAGAAATGAAGAGTACCAAGCCCATCCCATTCCAGACTGCCAGGCCTCTAAGAATCATAACCCCTCAGGCTAGTGCAAGTGTCAGGGAGACTGGGGAGACTGGGGTTTAAGGGTACCCTAAGCTAGTTGCTAGGCCTAGCAAGGGTCAGAGGTTTGCCTGGAGTCACATAGCACAGATGGGTTTAGGGTGGGCTAAGAGGGCACCCTTCCACCTGACCCTGTCCTGGGTCCCAGCACAGCCCAGACCTCATCCTGTGCCCTGCACCCCTGGAGCCTCTGTGGAAGGTACAGAGCTGGGGACAATAATCTCCTCCCACTGAACAAGGCACTTGCTGCATGTGACTTGAGCAGTGCCTTGACAAGCAATTACATCAGATTCAGAACCAGTGCCAGCTGCCTCTGCCCATCACAAACCTCTATCCACGAACCATTCCCCCATCGTTTTTCCTGGATCCTGGACCCAGCCCAGGGCAGGGACCATACCCACACCCCATACTCCACACCTCACACCCGACCCCGACCCCGACCCCGAATTTCCCAGGCACCATGCACATTCAGGAGGGTCCCTGGCATCCGTGTGCCTCAATTTCCCCATTTTCAATCTAGGGATGGGTTATAACCTCCCACGTTGTGGGTGCAGATGAGGCATCGGGTTTCAGACCTAAAGGGGTCCAGAATGTTCCTACCCAGGGCACAGGCGGAGCAACTGAGGTTCAAAGGTGGGTTTGGGCATTTCAAGGCAAAGAACCACTGGTTAGATATGGGGGACGCTTGGGGGTAAGAGAGGATCTCCAAGATTTCACTTACCTTGTGGCGTGAGTATCCGGACAGCAGGGGTCAGGACGAGGTCGCCGTTCGAATCTTCCCAGCTCTGGTTGGCCCGCAGCCTGATCAGCAGGTCCTCGTAGCGTTTCCGCAACTCTCGGAATCTGAAGTCTTCGGAGTGCAAGTCTGAGGGTCCCGAGACACTTGCGCGGCTCCTCTCGGCCAGAGACAGAGCGCTCCCATGCGGCGGCCACGAGAGCACCAGCAACACCAGGAGCATCTGAGAGCCAGTCAGTGTCTCGGGTTCTTGCCCGGGCATGGCTGAGCTGGTTGCAGCTCTGAGCTGTGACTGACCAGATGCTGCCGGACCGGCCTTTATAGTCCCCGGACTTTGTCCGCCCCCGCCTGCTCGGTCCCGCCCTCCTGCCCCGCGTGCAGAGTAAACACTCCAGTGACCACAGCTGGGCGGGGTCTGGGGATGTATTTGGCGGGAGGATCTTTGGGCCTGGGTGCTTCTAGCGAAGCTAGGGTACCTCTCTGACCCTCAGTATCCTCTTCCTTGAAATGAGTACACCATTCCAGTCTGGGAGTCTCGTTGAGAAAAAAAGACGTTGTTACTATGTGAAAAAGTCCAGACAGGAGTTTGAGAGGGGGCTGTGTATGCCCATGGGATTTCCCCTCCTCTTTTTGGTTGGGATCAAAGGCTAAAGATGGTGAAAAACAAAGGAAGCAGAGGAGAAAGGGCAAGATGGAGCCAGGAAGGGCAACCTTGACACGTCATTCCTCTTTGCCATGCATTTCCTCACCGGGAAAACAGGGCCAGAGACTCTCACTGGAGAGGCAGTCCAATGAGGTGTGAAGGCACAGGGCCAGACACATAGGAGGTGCTTGATAAACTGGCTATTATTGTGGTTACTCATCCTCATCCGGAGAACTCCTACTTACTCTTCAAAACACTACTCAAAAAGCCCCTCTTCCAGAAAGCCTTCTCTGACATTGCTTTCCAGGCTAAGCTCCCAAACCCCATCCTCCCATCTGGCTCAGAGGTCACCTTGAAGCTATCCTTACAGGATTAATAATTCCGGGAGCCAGGCATGGTGGCTTATGCCAATAGTCTCAGCACTCTGGGAGGCCAAGGTGGGTGGATTGCTGGAGCCCAGGAGTTCAAGACAAGTCTGGGCATGGTGGCAGTATTTTGCCTCTAAAAAAAAAAAAAAAGACTTCTGGACAGAAATTTCGTTGTAATTAAGCATTAATCAGGCTGCACTCTGACCCACTTCCTTATGACTGAAATTTCCTTGTAGCACTTGACACTGATTATTTGCTATAGATGGGATTTCCGACCTTAGAATCACAAGACTTCTGTTTACAAATTGCTTCAGATGCTGTTTTTGAAATCCCGAATTCCAGCTTACCCACCGGAGCCCACCAGTGTAGAGACCCCACAGAGGAATGGAATCCACACGAGAATACAGTTCCTTCCTGTCTGTGACTTCACCTCCTGTGCTCTTTCACCAAGCAATGACCTCCACACTTCTGCTCGCTCCAAAACCTTAAAAACTCTAGCCCCAGGCCAGGCGCGGTGGCTCCTGACTGTAATCCCAGAACTTTGGGAGGCCGAGGTGGGTGGATCACCTGAGGGCAGGAGTTCAAGACCAGCCTGACCAACACGATGAAACCCTGTATCTACTAAAAAAAAAAAAAACCCAGAAATTAACCAGTTGTGGTGCCAGCCTATAATCCCAGCTACTTGGGAGGCTGAGGCAGGAGAATCACCTGAACTCGGGAGGCAGAGGCTGCAATGAGTTGAGATCGTGCCACTGCACTCCAGCCTGGGCAACAGAGTAAAACTCGATCTCAAAAAAAAAAAAATCTGAGTGAGGTGTCTCAGGCCTGTAATCCCAGCACTTTGGGAGGCTGAGGCGGGCGGAGCACCTGAGGTCAAGAGCTGGAACCAGCCTGACCAATATGGTAAAACTCTGGCTCTACTAAAAATACAAAACTTAGCTGGGCGTGGTGGGCACCTGTAATCCCAGCTACTCGGGAGGCTGAGGCAGGAGAATTGCTTGAAGCCGGGAGGCAGAGGTTGCAGTGAGCTGAGATCACACCATTGCACTCCAGCCGGGGCAACAGAGCGAGTCTTTCCCTCATCCTAGGGTGGTCCTAGGATAAAACCTCTTTCTTTTTTTTTTTTGAGACAGTTTACTCTGTCTCCCAGGCTGGAGTGCAATGGCAGGATCTCACTCATTGCAACCCTCGCCTCCCGAGTTCAGGTGAGTCTCCTGCCTCAGCCTCCCAAGCAGCTGGGATTACAGGTGTGCGCCACCATGTCTGGCTAATTTTTTGGATTTTTAGTAGAGATGAGGTGTTACCATGTCGGCCAGGGTGGTCTCAAACTCCTGACCTCAAGTCATCCTCCAGCCTCTGCCTTCCAGAGTGTGGGATTACAGGCATGAGCCACTGCGCCTGGCCTTTTTTTTTTTTTGAGACAGAGTCTTGCTCTGTTACCCAGGCTGGAGTGCAGTGGCACCATCTCAGCTCATTGCAACCTCCGCCTCCGGGGTTCAATTGATTCTCCTGCCTCAGCCTCCCTAACAGTTGGGATTACAGGTACGCGCCATCACACTTGGCTAATTTTTGTATTTTTAGTAGAGATGGGGTTTCACCTTGTTAGCCAGGCTAGTCTCGAACTCCTGACCTCAGGTGATCCTCCCGCCTTAGCCTCTTACAGTGCTGGGATTACAGCTTGAGCCACTGCGCCGGTTAGATTAAACCTTTTTCCATGTTGCAACCCCGTTTCTCAGCTGCTGACTCGCCGAGTGTACGGAGCCGCAGACCTATCACAGCTACAACCCACCGCACTAGAAGTGTCTGTACCCGTCTGCTGACCCGAGACTGGCGGTTACTCTGGGCAGGGATGAATTTGCCCTTGTCTAGCCCAGAGAGGAGGTGGCACAGAACTGAGGAGCTGGGTTTTTTTTTTTCATTTTTTTTGTTTTTGTTTTTCAGACGGAGTCTCGAGACTGGAGTGCAATGGCGCCATCTCAGCTCACTGCAACCTTCGCCTCCTGGGTTCAAGCGATTCTCCTGCCTCAGCCTCCCGAGTAGCCGGGACTACAGGTGCGTGTCACTACACCCAGCTAATTTTTTTATTTTTGGTAGAGACAGGGTTTTGCCATTTTGGCCAGGCTGGTCTCAATCTCCTGACCTCGTGATCCTCCCGCCTTGGCCTCTCAAAGTGCTGGGATTACATATGTGAGCTACTGCACCCGGCTGGAGCTGGGGGTGTAGAGCAGGGCAGGCTGGTGTGAGGTCCAGCCACCAGATGGTAGAGGGGCAGGGGGTGCCCCAGGAGCACCCTTCCCCCTGGGGTGCCCAGATCTTCTTCTAATGCTCAGGATTCCTGGCCCCAGGTGCCAGTCCCTGTGCCTGCATCCGGCTTTCTGGCTGTGGAGAGGAAGGACTGCTCTGTCGGGCAGATAGGGGGTGTCTGCATGTGACAGGCATGGGTAGGAAGAGACACAAGGACTCACTGGGGGTCACACAGCAAGGCCCCCACTGGAGTCAGAGTCTCCAGGCGTCTCCCCACCCCAGCATGCACCCATTGCCGTTCGAGCCCAGCCAAGCCTCCAGCCCTCAGGGTCTCAGCCTCAGCCCTGTCCTAGGGGATTTTTTTTTAAAAATCTATTTATTTATTTAGATGGAGTCTTGCTCTGTCGCCCAGGCTGGAATGCAGTGGTATGATCTCAGCTCATTGCAACCTCTGCCTCCCGGGTTCAAGCAATTCTCCTGCTTCAGCCTCTCTAGTAGCTGGGATTACAGGCGTGCATCACCATCCTGGCTAATTTTTGTATTTGTCATAGAGATCAGGTCTCACTCTGTTATGTTGGCCAGGCTGGTCTCGAACTCCTGACTTCAAGTGATCCGCCTGCCTCGGCCTCCCAAGTGCTGCCCCCGGCCCCAAAATAAGAACTTTTTTTTTTTTGAGACGAAGTCTCACTCTTGTTGCCCAAGCTGGAGTGTAATGGTACCATCTCGGTTGACTAGCAACCTCCACCTCCCAGGTTCAAGCGATTCTCCTGCCTCAGCCTCCTCAGTAGCTGGGATTATAGGCATTTGACCGCACGGCTGGCTAATTTTTGTACTTTTGAGTAAAGATGGGGTTTCACCATTTTGGCCAGGATGGTCTCATGACCTCATGATCTGTCTACCTCGGCCTCCCAAAGTGCAGGGATTACAGGCGTGAGCCACCGAGCTCGGCCTAACCTTTTTTTTCTTAGAGACGTTGTCTTCCTCTGTGGCCCAGGCTGGAGCGCAGTGGTGCAATCATAGTTCACGACGGCCTTAAACTCCTGGGTTCCAGTGACCCTCCTGCCTCAGCCTTCCAAGCAGCTGAAACCACAGACATGTGCCACCACACCCAGCTAATTTTTTTTTTTTTTTTTTTTTGAGACAGAGTCTCACTCTGTTGCCCAGGCTGGAGTGCAGTGACACAATTTCAGCTCACCACAACCTCTGCCTCCTGGGTTCAAGTGATTCTCCTGCCTCAGCCTCCCAGGTAGCTGGGATTACACACATGAGCCACTGAGCCTGGCCTATTTTTAAATTTCTATTGAGAAATAACTTACATAAAAGAAAAAAGACTAATTTTCGGTGTTCAGCTCAATAACTTTTTTTTTGAGACAGGGTGTCACTCTGTCACCCAGGCTGGAATGCACTGGTGCGATTATAGCTCACTGCACTTGACTTCCTGGGCTCAAGCAATCCTCCTGCCTCAGCCTCCCAAGTAGCTGAGACTACAGTTGTGTACTCTCCCTGCCTGGCTGATACTTTTCTAATAGAAATGGGGTCTCACTATGTTGCCCATGCTGGTCTCAAACTCCTGGGCTCAAGCGATCCTCCCACCTCAGCCTCCCAAAGTGCGGGAATTATAGGCACAAGCCACTGCACTCAGCCTCAATGAAATTTTACATATGATATACTCTCGAAACTACTTTGAAGATGAGAATCTAGAACATTCCCAGCCCCAGGAATCTCTGGAGCTTCTTCCCATCATACTCCCCAGCCCCGGATAACAGGTGAGCTGGTCTCGATCATTAGGGATGAGTTTTCCTACTTGATGGGACTGGGAATGAGTCAGCACATCCTCTCCTCTGCCCGGTATCTTTCACACAATGTTTCTGAGTGATGCTCCATCCTTTTTCCTTGCTGTATAGTATTCCACCAAGCACATTCCAAAGGGGAGCTGCTGGTTCTGTGGGTATCTGTCACTTGAGAAGCAGGATGAGTAAGTAGAGGACTTTTTGTTTCTGTTGATGTTTGTTTTAGAGACAGGGTCTGGCTCTGTCACCCACTCACTGTAGCCTCTACCTCCTGGGCTCGAGGGATCCTCCCACCTCAGCCTCCCAAGTAGCTGGGACTAGAGGCGCGTGCCACCACAACTGGGCAATTTTACTTTTTGTAGAGATGGGGTCTTGCTAAATTGTCCAGGCTGGTTTCGAACTCCTGAGCTCAAGCATCCTCCCTCCTTGGCCTCTTACAGTGCTGGGATCCCGTGATGATGTGAGCCACTGCATCCGGCCACTCCCCTGGCTCTGCTTCCCCAAATCTTTAACCAATGACCTCATAGCCAGCCTCGTGGCCAAGCTGAGAGGAGAGATCAAGCGGATACAGGCAGGTGGCCAGAGATGAGCTCAGCAGATTGGATCCTGTGTTCCCACCGACAGCTTCCGTGGGACCCGGGAGGTGGAGTCACAGTGGAGCTAAACAGAGCGCAGGGGCCAGAGGTCAGGCCAGTCCCTCCACCTGGCAGGGCCCCAATCTCCTAAAATC